GAAGTTGTGGATGCCCCATCATTGGAAGTGTTCAAGGTCAGGTTGGCTGGGGCTTTGAGCAACCTGATCTAGTGGGAGATGTCCCTACCCGTGGCAAGGGCGTTGGACTAGATGATCTTTAAAGGTCCCTTCCAACCCAAACCATTCTATGGTTCTATGATTTTATTAATTCACTGCATTTTAGTTTTTAGCAAGTCAGTAGCTTTGCTCCAAAAGAGCAGATGGCAACAGTAAGTCATCTTGAAACTTCATGGAAGAGAGAGACTGCAACCACTCAGATCCCAGAGAGGCTTTACCAGGGAAGCCCAAGGGATAGAAAGAGAGAGATGCAGGGCTGGAAAGGACCCCCCTGTGCCACAGAACCCAGATCTCTTCCCTTCCTCCTCTCCCCAGCAGCAGGCAGTGAGCCCAAACAGGTTTAACGCGATACCTCCTCCATGAGGTCTGCATTTAGGAGACAGCAGCATACTTCCTTATACCCATGAAAAACTTGAGACCCATAGGAAAAAGCCTGAACCAAAAGTGAGACACAGAAAAGGGTAGAGGGTTAAAAAGGGTGTTGCTAGTGTCATTTATTCCTATACTAACAGAAAGTTGAGGAGGTATCTAAAAGCCTCTAACAATTCAGCACTGAGAAAGCTTCATTTTTAGAGCAGAGAGATGGCCAGCACTGCGAACCTCCAGGTATTATTAAACAACTCCCCTCTTGAAAATCACTGCTTCCTTCTTAAAGTCTCGTCCCACACTTTGAACTCTCCACTGATCAGGGCCATCCCTCAGTGACTGGTCTACACGCGGTTTGTAAGAGGTTATGAGATCATATCTGTTGCAACAAAATATTAAGTCGCTCTTACAAGTGCCAAAAGGGGAAGAGACAGAGGTCACAGTGGTTCAGGCTCACTCCTGAAACAGCCAGAACTTGAACCTGGTCACCAGCACATCTCAGAGCAACTAACTGCTGAGCTACTACCTGTTCTTCACTGAGGAAAGGGTGTTCCTGTGATTTCATCTGTGTGATTATGACCCCGCCCCCCAAGAGCACGGTTCTGCTCTTGAATGGGAAGAAAACAGCATCTGAAGTTTTAATTTCTTATTAAATTGAATACTCATTTTTCAAGCTGTTGGTTCTCTTCCAAAGAAGGAAGCACACCAGGAATCATCTTTGCACTGTTTGAAACCTCGAGAAGAGACTGCTTGGCACACGAGTGATGCAACATACCCCAGCGTGATAAGGAAAGGCAGCATGGAGGATATCATGGCTTGGGGAAAACAAAACCGGGGAAACGGGAGAAGGTCTACTGCAGAGCTTTAGTGCATGGACCAAAAATGCTGTGGCAACTGCCAAACATGCACAGTCTTGGCTATCAAATTACACCATAAAACAAATAAGAAGACAGACCACATTATGTGCCTGCCATGATGAAAAGAAGTCAAGAGCTCCAACCTACTCTGAATACATCTGATCAGTAAACAGCATGCCCATGAAGGTGATAAACAACAACTGGGACAAAGAAAGATTCACATTTCAGCTCCTAAATGGTGCTTTAGGAAAAAAAAAAAAACAATACACCAAGTATGTCGTGCATAGAGAAGTATCGTATATCACTACAAGCCTAGCTGACCCACAGACTTGACAAATCTGTTATTGTTTCCATATTCCTTGGCAAAGTAGAGGCATGTTAAAACCATTTTCCTCCTACTTAGTCATCTCCTTGTTGGTTCCAGGTCAACATACACTTCCAACAAATCACATCCTACTGAGCAGAAGAAAGCTGTTAGTTTAAAAAGCATTTTTATGACGAGAAGTTAAGTTCTTGAAAAAATGCTTTACATGCTATACTGATTCTACATACACACAGAACATAGTAACTTACCATAGTTATGTTCTGCTGCTTTAATGGACAATCCTAACAACAACTTGAGCACTTTCCAACCTG